GTCCCCAGTGGGGAACAGCAGATTTGGGGTGAGCTGGGGGCCAGACCTCTGGATCTTGGCTCGAAGCAGGGGATGAGGATTGGGGGCTAGGAGAAGGTGAAAAGAGAGGACATTCCAGGTGTCGGGGTCTCAGCCTGCTGTCTGGAGCATCCATCAGAGACAGAGAGGCCAGGGGGGACAGGGCCTCTATGCCAGCAGCCTCCCTGCCGACTGTGCCCTGGGCTGGTCCCGTGAGAACCAGAGTAGATTCCTCTGCAGCCTGACTCATCCTTCTCCCCCAGCAGCCCCCCACAGGTGATTTGTAGCTGATGCCCCCACGATGGTAGGGGCCCGGATAGTCATTCCCTGACATGAAGAACTGAGAGCTTCCAGGAGAGAAGAGAAAGGAGGCCAAGGGAAGGGAAGCCAAGCACCACCGCCACATCCCCCCACCCATCCCCATCTCGCTCCCCTGGGGACCCTGGCCCAGCCCCAGTCCCCTTGGGGTGGTGGGAATGCAAGGACATTTGGCTGGGGCTGATTGATGAGGGAGGAGGCAGCCACGGGCACTGAGGCTGCTGTTTGCTGAGCACACAGATTCCTCCCCACTCACCAGCTGCCGCCCCCTGAGGCTGCTCAGTCCACCCCCCACCACATCACCCCACCAGCCACTGGGGTTAGGGGGAGCTGGTGCCTGCGTTTCTGATGGCAGCTGGAGGAAGAGGGAGAACCAGGAAGCTGAATGCTTTGATTCCCTGTGGGAATCGGGGGTCCCTGGGGTCTGGTCCCCTCAGAACTCCACTTCCCCTGCTACTTTTCTTTCCTTTTCTGTTTTTTCAGAGGGAGTTTCACTCTTCTTGCCCAGGCTGGAGTGCGATGGCATGAACTCAGCTCACCGCAACCTCCGCCTCCCAGGTTCAAGCGATTCTCCTGCCTCAGCTTCCCAAGTAGCTGGGATTACAGGCACGTGCACCACCATGCCCGGCTAATTTTGTATTTTTAGTAGAGATAGGGTTTCTCCATGTTAGTCAGGCGGGTCTTGAATCCCCTACCTCAGGCAATCCGCCTGCCTCGGCCTCCCAAAGTGCTGGGATTACAGGCATGAGCCACCGCGCCTGGCGTCCCTGCTACCTTTCCAGTAGCTCTCTGGCTGCCCAGTTGTCATTCCCACTTATTCCGTGTCTTTTTTTCTTCCCCCACCCAACCCTCTGAGCCTAGGCCAACCAGCCTCCTGCCTCCAAACCACCCTGTGACATTTCTCCTAGGTCTCAAAACTCTCCCAAGCCCCACGTCCGAGGTTGCCCACGTAGCCCCTTAGGAAGCACTGTTTTTCATTCTAACTAAAATTCCGGAAGTGCTATCAACCATTCCCCGTTAGAAATTCCCACTGCAAGGCCAGGTGCTGTGGCTCCAACCTATAATCCCAGCACTTTGGGAGGCCGAGGCCGGTGGATCACCCGAGGTCAGGAGTTCAAGACCAGCCTGGCCAATGTGGTGAAACCCTCTCTACCAAAAATACAAAAAATTAGCCGGGCCTGGTGGCACATGCCTGTACTCCCAGCTACTCAGGAGGCTGAGGCAGGAGAATTGCTAGATTGAGCCACTGTACTCCAGCCTGGGCCACAGAGCAAGACTCTGTCGCAAAAAAAAAAAAAAAAAAAAAAAAAAAAAAAAGCCCACTGCCACCCCTTGCCCCATTTCCCTTTCCTTAAAAACCCCCCAACACAGACACATACATACATACACATACAAACACACACACACACGCACACACATACACACATGCACACGCACACACACCCCTCGGGTTGAAAAGTCTGAACTCTACAGCTCAGCCCCAGGATAACCTCAATCCTATGCAGTTTGGGGGTGGTGAGGGGACAGCTCAGCCCTCTCTGTACCTTTACTTCCGCTCTGCCTGCCTTCTCTGGACTCTGCCAGCAGCTGTGCCACAGCCCCCAGAAAAGCTCAGAGCATCATCCTTGCCCTCCCAGAGCTTAAAATTTAGTCGAGAAAAACACAAGTCACAGACACACAAGAAACAAAAGGCAGGGAGATGGAAGACTGAGTGAGGCCAACTTCCTAAATGTGGATTTCAGACTGTAAGTGACTACTTCCCACCAGGCCGGGGCTAGGGAAGAACAGGACACATCTGAAACATGCATGTGGTGGTATCATCCTCGTTTTTGTTTGTTTGTTTGTTTGGGGCAGAGTCTTGCTCTGTCACCAGGGTGGAGTGCAGTGGCACAATCTCTGCTCACTGCAACCTCCGCCTCCCAGATTCAAGCGATTCTCCTGCCTCAGCCTCCCAAGTAGCTGGGACTACAGCCACATGCCACCATGCCCAGCTAATTTTTGTATTTTTAGTAGAGACTGGGTTTCACCATGTTGGCCAGGATGGTCTCGATCTCTTGACCTTGTGTTCCACTGCCTTGGCCTCCCAAAGTGATGGGACTACAGGCGTGAGCCACCACCTTACTGTTCCCAAACACCACGATCTCACCTCTGTGCCTGTGAATGCGCTGTCCTTCTGTCTGGCATGCCCTTCCCCACTTCCCCAGTGTGCATGGCTTACTCTTGTCTCATTACTCAAGGTCCTGTCAATGGCACCTCTTTCAGAGGGGCCTTCCTGACCTCCTTATCTTAAGCAGCTCCTGGCTGGGCACGGTGGCTCATGCCTGTCATCTCAGTACTTTGGGAGGCCGAAGTGGGTGGATCACCTAAGATCAAGAGTTTGAGACCAGCCTGGGCAACATGATGAGACCCTGACTCTACTAAGAATACAAAAATTAGCCGGGGTGGTGGCAGGTGCCTGTAATCCCAGCTACTTGGGGGGCTGAGGCAGGAGAATTGATTGAACCTGGGAGGTGGAGGCTGCAGTGAGCTAAGATCACACCACTGCACTCCAGCCTTGGCAACAGAGTGAGATTCCATCTCAACAAAAAAAAAAAAAAAAAAAGTAAATAAATAAAATAGGCCAGGCATGGTAGCTCATGCCTGTAATCCCAGCACTTTGGGAGGCCGAGGTGGGTGGATCACAAGGTCAAGAGATCAAGACCATCCTGACCAACATGGTGAAACCCCGTCTCTACTAAAAACACAACAATTAGCTGGGGGTGGCGTGCGCCTGTAATCCCAGCTACTCAGGAAGCTGAAGCAGGAGAATCACTTGGACCCGGGAGGTAAAGGTTGCAGTGAGCTGAGATCATGCCACTGCACTCCAGCCTGGGCGACAAAAATAATAAATAAATAAAGCAGCTCCTTGTCACTCTCCGTCCTCCTCAGGTCACTGTTTGATTTAGATCCCTTTCACACCTGAAATTGTATTATTTCATTCCCCACCTAAATATGGACTTCATGAAAGCAGGGACTTGGCCTTACTCACGCTGTCCTCCTGGTACCTGAACTGGGGCCTGGAACAAAGTCGCATTTACCATGCTGCTGAGCGAGTGAACGAACAAACAAATGAACAAACAAATGTCTTCCTGAGCCTGTAGTGGTTTTGTTGTAGTTGTTACTCTAAGAGTGTGTTTGTGTATTTGCACAAAGCAAATAGGATGGCATGTGTTATTCTGTGTGGAAGTCGCCAGCATTTTAACATAGCTCAGAAGACACCCAAGTCACTACACAGGCGAAAGGCAGTGGGTCTTGGGCTGTTTGAGTGGGGCTGCGGGGAGCCTCTGGATGCCAGCGCTCCGAGGAGGTGTGTCCCACGCACAGCGCAGCCTGTGCCGTTCCTCTCCCCGGCTGTGCATCTGTCCCCAGGTGTCTTCCTGCCTCTCAGCATGTTATGATGTCTTGGCTGCTTTGTGAGGTGCTTGTCTGTCACGGAGACTGTTTATCCCCACCTCTCCTCCCTCTTGTCTCTCCACCTGTGCCTCTAGATGTAGGTGGAGGGGGAGTCTCCCTGAGCTCCCTTGCCCCTCACACACCGCCCTGCCCCAGTCTTGGACCCCTCCCTTTCTCAGTGGGCCCTGTTGCTGGGCTCTGGGTTGCCATAGTGACGGTTGCCAAGTCCCTGAGGCTGATAGCCAGCGATGGGGCTGTCGGCTCCATCCACGCGGGAGGCTGAGGGGGGCTTCCCATTGTGTAGAGAAGGGGATGTTGCCGTGACAACCAACCCCCACTAAGGGGCAAGGACCAGCCTTTCCACCCCCCACGAGCCTCCCCACCTCGGGCAGCTCCAGTGTGGGCTCAGAAGGCAGCAGTAAATTCCAGACAGCCCAGCACCTGGCCTCCCAGCTTTCAACTCCCCTCCTGCGGTGCCCACACCTTTCAGGACCCAGGCATCTTGCTCAGACAGGCAGGGGGAGGAGCGGGGGTCCCACTGGACAGAAGAGAGGAAGAGGGACCCCTTGACCTCCAGGCAGATGGGAGACAGCGGGAGGGGACCGAAAGTCAGGGGAGGGGCAGGGAGGGCAGAGGTTGTGACCCCTGCTGACTCGCTCCAGTGATGCTCCTGACGGCTGCTTTTGTGGTTGGAGAATGGGGCTAAGTCTAGGGGGCTGGGCACCTGGGTTTTTTTGGGGGAGAACCTTGGTTATGGGTATACAGGGCGCCAGGGGACAGGCAGCTTGAAGCCTGGGTCCCTGAGTCCTTCCTACTTCCTTCTGATCAGCCTCATCCCTTCTCCCCATGAGTTCCCTACAGCAAAACTTCCCAAGGGGTGGTAGGGAATAGACTTTAACACGTGAAGATGTTTTTACCACTTGATCCTAAGTGTGACTTGCCCTGTCTCTGGTGCTTTGGCTTAGCAAGGCACTCAGACTGTCCCCATGGACGAACTGGCAACCCCACTCCTGCCTGGGTACCTCTCTCCCTCCCCTCGAGGGGACGCCTTCCTCTGCCTTCTCTCCCAGCCCATTTTCACCTCCTCAAGCACACCCACCTCACCACTCCAAACTAGCCCTATCCCGACCCACTCCCCCTGGTTGGTTTCATGCAATCCAACCCTCAGCTAGAAAGCCATCCTAACCACATCTTTGCTCCAATTTAAGTCCAGTCATTCTCCAGCCTTCTTGTCAACTTTTGAAGTTTTTTATTTTTTATTTTTTTTTTTTTTTGGTTTTTGTTGTTCAAATTTCCCTTTTACAGTAAAACTAGTGAGGTGACGGAAGACCCCGCCACCATGGCAATATCAACTTCCTGGTCCCCAGAAGGAGCGATTAGAAAAATCAGGAAGGAGCTGGGAACTACAGCCACCAGAGCGGTGACTTGACCTCTGGTGGACAAAGCAACCATCTTGGCTGGTGATCGAGGTGGCCAGCTTGGTGCCCAACGGCAGCTTTGATCTAATAAAACTGAGCTGGGAGGAAACTGAGGCAACACCCAATTGCACACGAGAGGGCAGGAAGAGGTATCAGCTGGTCACCATGGAAACAGCAGCCTTCGCTAAGTACCACTGTCAGCTAGACCAGCCAGTAGGCCACCATTTTGGTTACTAAGAAGGGAACTGTGTTGCGTCTGAAAGGAGTCAGAACTGGATGATGGAATGAGCAAGACACCCATCTGGGTTACTCGGGGAGAGCACATGGGTTCTTGGGGTAGTCCTGTTGGTTAACAGAGATTATACTGGGATAATGGAAAGGAAAGAACGAGACAAACTGGGGCTGCCACAGCACATGGCAGTCGTCTTAGCTGTCCTAAAGTCAGCACAGAGCACAAGGAAAGGGAGATCTTGGGAAGTGCCACTGAATACTGGGAAAGTCCTTCTCGGTCCACCTCTGTCCTCTTACAGTCCGTAAGTTCCAGCTTCCTCCTCAAACAGGAAGTTCTTCCCGCCCTTCTTCTCCACAGAGTAAGAACCATCCGCCTCCCGCCCCACCGATCCCCCAGACTAAGCCACTTGGAGTTCCGGCCAGACCACTTCCTATTTCAGAAGTGCTACTTCCTGTCCTGGATGAAGGCACTTCCAGTTCCTGCTGCACTGCTTCTGCTACTTCCCAGGCCATTTCTGTCCAGGCCTGGTCACCTCTTGTCTGGAGCAAGTCACCTCCTGTCCCAAGTGGCCCATTCAGCATCAGACCAAGTCCGTACATGTCCCGACCGGTTCATATCTTGCTATTGGCCACAGGACACTTCTTCTCATGGTAGCTGTCATGACCCAACCACCCCAAATGGCTGGAGTAAGTATGCAAAGGCCTGGGCCAGGGCAGAGAAGGGAGCCCTGCTGCCATGCCCTGAGCTGGGGTGGAGTGCCAGAGCCTTCCCCATAAGGCCCCCATTTTTGGCAGACTGAGGGGAGTGGTTGGTATGAGAGGTCGGAAGGGGGCTGAAAGAGAAGTGCTTTGATGCCCCCGCCCGGGAGATGGGAGAGGCACAGGATAAGAAGCCAAGAGGGTGAAAGGAGATGTGGGGAGGAGGATGCTAGGGAAGAACAGACCTAGAGACAGAAAAGAGGGAAAGAATAAGAGATAGAGAGAAGAGAAAACCAGTGAGAAGCAGAAAGAAGCGGTGCCAACCAAATGGTGGACTGTTCCCGCCCCTAGCTCTGGGTGGGTGGGGGGACAAGGATGCCTGGGTCACAGTCAGAGAGGAGGCTGAGCCTGGGCCCCTCCCCAAGGGAATAGGACCCAGGGACACTGAGACACAGGGAGGCACCCGTGGCCAAACGGGAGGGCAGGAGGTGGTACAGTGAGAATCCTAAGGAATCCTGAAAGTGGGCACGAGGACAGCAGCAGGGAGGAGCGAAGGGGCTGGTAGGGCACAGGGGGCCAAGGAGATGTTAGAGGTGTCCCTCGAACCAGGAATTAAACCGGAGGAGCACCCCAAGAAGGGCTGGATCCAGGAGAGCCACATGGAGGGGAGCCCTCATACCTTGTAGTAGATGTTTGGAGGGCTCTGGGGGGGCCCATCCTGCACTATATACACAGGATGCCCGTAATCACCGCTCACCTTCTCATAGTGGGGACAGAACGGGGGATCGGCGGCCCCACCGCCCCGCAGAGCTATCCCTAGCTCCCCAGGCTCAGCCTCCCGAGGTCCCATCCCCCCTCCACCCCCCAGGCCCAGAGACCCTCCCCTCCCGAAGGAGCCAGGACCAGGGTGGCGACTCTCCGAAGGCTTGGCCCGCCGTCTCCGCCAACACATGGCACCCCCAGCCCCTGCCACGCCCAGCAAGAGCAGCGCCAGCCCCCCTGCTGCCCCAGCCACTGCAGGCATGCTGGGAGGGGGCAGGGGGCCTTCAGCACCCCGGGAGGTTGCATTGCTGGTGGGGTCACCTGGCAGGGAAGGGGTGAAGGAGGAAAGAGGGGGAGGGACTGAAGGAGCCACCTGGGCATCTGGACACCCTACCCTAAGGGCCCCCATGGGCTTCCCTTGCAGGGCCCAGGCCCCTTGGGGACCCCACCTCCCCTCCCCCACCGAACCCCGCTCAGAATCCAGGTGTCCAGCCCTTCAGCTTCCTGCCACAGAGTCCTCCCCACTTCTCTGACAGCACTGATTGAAGCACTGACTTGGCTAATTAGTTCTAATTGAGTCTTTTCCTCATTTGGCTTCCATTCCCCTCCCACCCTCCCGTCCTCTCTTCTCCTCTTTCCTGTATCACCGCCCCCAAAACTGAAGAGGGAGGGTGACGGCAGGGCAGCTGGGGTCTGAGAGCAGAGGAAGCTGGGGAAGGTGGGGGGCCGGACCCTGGTTCCTACCTGGCGCATTCTCCTTCCCAGGCTCCAGGCTGTGGGCTGCCCCTCGGTCTCTTTCCATGGGTATTTCAGACACAGGTTTTCGGGGAGCAGCCCCTCCTTGGGGACCTGAGATGAGGAAGAGCCCAGAGAGGCACTGAAACAACCGCCCCTGACCATGATCGTCCTGCCCCAATGTCCCTCCGATCCCGGGAGGTGTCCCCCAGCCCTACTCACTTTGTCCCACTCGGAGAAGCACCTTCATGCCTCTGGTTAGGCACACGCCTCCCTGCAGGCTCTCCAGGCCCTCCCGGGTCCCATCCGATGTGGCTGGGAGGGAAAAGCCAGAGGGAGAGGTTGGCACTCCAGAGTCTAGCCGGGTTCTGGCCCCACACCCTGGTGTGAACACCGCCTGAGGGTACTGGGGTCTCCCTCTTGGCTCCAGTGGTCCCCCTCCCTCTCTGCTCAGTGTCAGGAGCAGCCCCCAACTCAAGTGTGCTCTCTGCCCAGCAGTACCAATGATGTAGTAATCGTGGTGCGAGCGGAACTCGTGGCCCCAGAGGTTAGGGCTGTACTCCTGGAACTTGATGGTGAAGCGGAGATCCAGGTCTGGCCGATCACAAGTGAGAAGGAGGTTTGGAGCAGGGGGTGCCTCACAGCGCCGGCCCTGGGCACCCCCTACCAGGTACAGCTTGTAGAACTCATAATTAGGAGAGGAGTGGGGGCCCGGAGGCCGGGCCCGGGGGCAGAGCAGGTCCAGCCGGTCCCCGATCTGAGGGTAGAGCACATAACCACCCTCTGCCTGGAACCTATGGGGAGGAGGGTGAGGTGGGCAAGGAAGAGATGTCAGAGGCCTAGCCCCCAGAGCTTTCCCTCCCTCACCCTGAAACCCTCCAGGAGAGCAATCCTCAGCTCACGCCTGCCCGCCTTTGTCTGAGTGGAAAGTCTGTTCTTACAGAGCAGGCACCAAGGACTCTGTGCGTTCACACTGGAAGCAGCAGGAAGCCAGGCTCAGAGGTCTCCTGCCCCTTGGTGTGCCCAAATGCACTCTTCAGCCCGCCCTCACCACATGCACACTGCCATCTCCCGCTCCATCACCAGCCCTGTTGCCATGGCAACAGGATGCCAGTTACCAAGGAGCTGGCCTCTCTGGAACCACACAGCCCACCCCTCCCAGGTGATTTCACTATTCCATGGCAGCCAACCATGGGGGCAAAGCCTCCCCTCCTCCAGGCCACCACTGAATTTCAGGGATTTCAGGGCATAGGGGGTGGGTCAGGGAGGGGCTGTGTGGAGGGTGACCCAGACCAGGGTCTTAAATGAGCCAGGTAATAGGACAGAGGGCAAATGCTTGGTTTGGCCATGACCATCAATGGGACCGATGGGAACCAGGGTCTAGAGACCTGCTGCCTGAGTCATTCTCCTGCTCAGAATCCCACCCTGGGTCTTAGACTTCCTGGGGCAAATGCCCTACTGCTTTGGAAAGGAAAGGAATTGACTTTTCTAACCACGACCAACACACTTCACCGTCTCCATGGCCAGAGCACCCAGGCATCCGCTGTCCCAGCACAGCCGCAACTTGCCAACCCTGCAACCCCTTCCTGGGCATTAAGAGCTGAGACAGGGTCTCAGGACTGGATCCCATGGGACTGCTACTTGACATCTTCTCAGACTCCCAAGTGTCCCACTCCCATCCCACATCCGAAAGAGCCCCCAGGACACCCCAACTCCCTTTTCTCTACCCTGTGAAAATAAGCTTATGTTCTCAAGCTACACACCTAATACTCAAACTGCAGCTGGGAGTTGGCGGGGGGCGGGGGGGGTGACTGAGTACAGAAAAGACATTGAGATTATACCCAAAGAGATCCGGGAGAAAGAGAGGGAGGGATGGCAGGGTAGGGAAATGTGAGGGAGGCTGGGAACTAAAGAGAGGAACAATAATCCAAACTCTCCATTAATGAGCACATAATAAATTTCAACATCTTACCGCTAATCCTGGTAATAGCTGTAAGGATTGAGGATACAAACTCAGAAAGGTTAAGTGACATGCCCAAGGCCACACAGCTTAAAGCAGCAGAGCTACGATTAAGACCAAGGATTTGATGAGCTCCAAAGCCCACCCGCTTCCCATGGCCTCACACAGTCTCCCCAGGGAAGTAGGAATTCTTCAAAACACAGAACTCTTTTTCCGAGCAGCAAGTGGGATCTGCATGTAGGCAAGGGACCCAGATGACCTCCCAAAGGTTCTGTCCTACCCAGCGTGACTTGAAGTTTCATCTGACCCCTGCCCTCTTTTGAGAGCAAAGCAGGCATGCCACCGAACAGAGGGTCTGATGGAAGAGTTTGGATCAAAGATGGGGGGAGGGGGCAGTGGAGTCCTCAGGACTCCAGATGCAAAAGGGAAGGAAGGAGGGTTCAGTGGGCCGGAGGCTTCTTCCAGAAAGACGCCTGCAAGCCAGGAAGACAGGAATATGTTCTGGCTGGGAAATCCTTCGGTCAACAGTTCACCAACCCTCTGGCTGTGCAGAAGAGTTGGGAGACAGACTGTCAAAGATTGTCAAAGAGCCTTGGGGAAGTTGTCCCCAGAGCCCCCAACTGAAACCCCCTTGCCTCCCATCTTAGACGCTGAGTTCCTCCAGTGGGGAGGGAGGCACCCTGCCCTGCCTTCCCCTCAGCGACTCGCAGCACCTTATCTGCAGCTCTCTCCTGAGAGCTGACAGTAACCAGGCTCCCTCCAAGCCCAGCCCCCCGACGCAGGCCTCCCACAGATCCGAATGCCCACCTCACTGCCCTCCTGGCTACCCATGAACTTTCTTCTCCTTGCCCCTGTGGGGGTCTCCAAACTCCTGACACATCCATAGCACCACCGGCATTCAGCTCTGCGTGGGACCCGGAATGTGGCTCCCCAGATCACCTGTCTAGTAACCCATCACACATCAGAACACCAGCGCCTTCCCTCCCGCCTCCTCCCTGTCCACAGAAGCCAGCCCCCAAAGTCCCCAAAGCTTCCCTACCCACTGTCCTAGGGTCTGGGGTCTCCCCAGCCCCAGGCCACTCACCTCTTATTCGCCGAGTTCCAGTAGACAGGTTCCAGGCTGAGCCCAGACACCAGCCCCAAAACGCCCAGCAGCAGCAGGGCCCCGATTCGCACGCCCCCCGGCCCAGAATGCGGGGGCCCCATGACCCCGCCAAGGCCTGGGGGGCGGGGCACCAACTCCCCCAAAGTCGCTCACCCCTTGGGGTGGCTGCCTTGGCTGCCTGGCTCTTCAGCCCGGACCACCCCGGTGGCTGATGCCCCCAGCGCCCACGCGGACCTGCTTCCTGCTGTGCCCGCGCCCCCGCAGCAGAGCGCTCAGTCCCACCAGAGCCCTTCCAGGGGCCGTCTGCAGGCGCCCTACGCGCCCCCGGCCCACGCGCCAGCACCCCGGGATCTGTGAGCCCGCCTAAGTGGGGGACTGGGGGAGTCGGGGTCTGGGCGGGGGCGGCATGGGGCGCCGGACCACGGAGCGAGGAAGGGGGCGCCGAGCCGGAGCCCCAGCCTCGCCGGGATTGAGGGCAGCGGGCTAAGGGAGGAAACCAGTCCCGAGCCCAGGAGGGGGGAGTTAAAGGAGAGGCGGGGAGGGGGAGAGGATGGTGGAGGGAAAAACCGGAGCTGGAGCTCGAGGCGGAGCGGGCGGCAGCATCCCGCGGCCCACGCCCCCCACACCTCCCTCACCTCGCTCACCTCCCGCCCGCCGCCCCGCCTCAGCCCCCGGCGCGGGCTCTCACGCCCCCTTTGTCTCTCCGAGCCTCTGGCTCCGTCTGAGTTCTGCCCGTCTCCCCTCCTGCCCTCCGATCGCCCAAGCTGCTGGAATCTTCCTCTCTCGAATCCAGAAAGGCTCTCGCCCTCTCCACCCCGAGGAACCCACCCCTTGCGCTCCTGCAGCCTCCTCCTCCATCCCAAAACAACACCACTGCTCCCGGCAGGTCTGGAGAGAATAATAATAACCTTGAAGGCTTGGCACTTCACAAAGTGCGACGGAGCTGATCGTCACGACTACCTGTGTGAAGTGGGAGGGGCAGAGCTAATGATCCCATTGCAGTGATGAGGAAACTGAGGCTCAGGGAGACCCCCCCCCCATGACTTGCCCAAGGTCACACAGGAAGTCTAGGGTAAAGCTAGAGACCAAACCCAGGCTGCTCAACTCCCACTCCTGGGGTCTCTTTTGTCACCACTCCATGGACCATGTGCTGTTAACCTGGGGGTTAGTGGAAGACAGGAGTTTAGGGGATAAGGGCTTGGGCCTTTCCTAGATGGCGAGGGCTGGGGGAAGCTGGGCTGGGAGAGGCAGGGGCATACCTACAACCCCAAACCCGTACTGCTGCAGGAAGGGCTGTTTCCAATTATCCTGGGGGAAGGGAGGAGTTGCCTTTTCGGGGGTAAGAGCCCTGGCTTTCAGCACCTCTGGGCAGGGGTGACATTCCTCTCCTCTCTCAAGCCTCCACAGGCCTTTCGTCCCTTCCCTTTGTGAGGTCCAAAATCACATCCCCTGCTGGCGGTATCTCTTCAAAGGCCCCCCATTCTCAGTGTTTGGGAAGGTGTTGGGGGGAGGAGGGAGGAGTCACTGCTTCAAATGACACACTGGTCCCCCACCCCCAAAGACAGAGCAGACAAATCGAGAAACCAGCCCAGCGACAGCTGCTGAATGAATAAGACCCTTGCCGTGCCCTGCATCTCACGGCAATACCAAAGGTGACGACTGTATATTTTTTGACACCTTTACTCTTTCATGTGTGTCCTTGACTCTGGCAACCGGGTTGTCTGCCTCCTGGGGGGCCCTGGGGTGGGGAGGAGCAGGTTCCTGCTCCCCTCAGAGCTGAGTAATGGTCCCCGTGCTGCTGGAACATGGCAAGCAATGTGGAGTTTGGGTGACGGTCGCCCCGTTTGTCACTGTCTGCAGTCTCACACGGTTACACCCAACAGTCTGACCCAGCTCCTGGTCAGCCTGGCTCACCCTGACCCCTGCTGCCCCCACCTTGGGAGTGAGATTTGAAACAGGTTTCCCCCTTCAGTTTACCAAGTTGCCTAGCAACCAGCCAGTCAATGGCATGAAGCCCCACCCCCACCCACTTGACTTCACACCAAGCTCAGCCACCCCATTGGCTCCTGCCTAGTCCCACCTCTCAACCCCTGGTTTCAGGAACAATATGCCATACCCACTGCTGCTGGACAAGGGAGCCCGCCAGTCCCCCTGCCCGCTCCCACCTCACTCATGTGCTTCCTCAAACAGACACAGACTCTAGTATCATAAAAACCTTTTTATATAAGCTCACTGTCACCTCCCTCCGTCCCTCCCTGCCCTTTCTCGCCATGGTGGTCATCAGGGATGCTGGGGTCTGGGCCCCCCCCACACCACCAGAGCTGAAGCTGACATTCAAGGTGGACATGGCGCATGGAGAGCAGGGGAAGGCCCAGCTCTGGCTCCCCTTCGTCCTCACTCTCTGTGGGCTCTGGAAACACACGCTGACCAGAGGCAGTAGCCAGGAGAGGCAGGCTAGGGTGCAGGCTGAGGGAGAGATGAGAGGGTCTGTCAGCACCTTCAGTAAGGACACTTGCTCCCTCTGGGATTCACCTCCCTCCCCAACCCAATCCCCAACATCTCTGGAATTGAAGTGAGGACCTCACGCCATTGGTGCAGTCCTTTTGGGGCAGAAAACTCAATACAGGCTCCGGCTTCCCATCACTGTCAGGCCCGCCTGTGTCCCACACCTGGACGGCCCCGCCGGTGCTGCCACTCACTAGGAACTGCCCAGTCCTGGGAGAGAGAGGAGAGATTTGCTGGCGGAGACATCACCCCCAGGGCAGAACCCCCGACACCCAGGGGCTGGGACCCCACAGCTGGGCCCTGACATTCCTAGGCTTATCAGGGCCCTGTGTGGGAAGGAGCCACGACCACTCACGGGTCCACATCGAAGTAGATGCGCTGATTGGTGGTCACCTCTCGACTCAGGGACCACAGTGGGTAACCAGGCTGCCGGAGATCCCAGCACAGGAGCTCAGCATCCTAGAGACACAGAACAGGACCTGGAGCGGCCCCCCAAGCCCTAGATGTCCCTGCCCCCCTCAGGGTCTCCAGGCACTCCTTCAGCTTGGGATTTCTTCCCCCATCCGCATCCCCATCCCCCTACACTGCAGACTACACCCCACTCCTGCGCCGCTGCCCAGCTGCTCTGAGCTCTCAGAGTATGACCCCTACCTTGCGGGCTCCTGAGAAAAAGCGGTTGCCATCGGGGTGAAAGCAGAGGTGAGTGATGCCCCCTTGGTGCCCTCCCAGCAGGGCAAGAGGGGAGCCATCATCCCAGGCATACAGACCCAGGGAGCGGCCGTAGGAGCCACAGGCATAGAGGGGCTGGGCTGGGCTGAAGGCTATGCAGGAGATGATGCCGCTCTGGCCCTGCTTTTTTGCTAGAGAGGGAAGGAACAAAGCAGGGAAGGGGTCAATGGCTCCTGGCCCCAACCAGGCGAAGCAGAGCTCTGTCTCCCATCCCAGCACCAGCATCTCCCCCATGCTGTTTGTCACGAGCAGGATAAAGACCTCTGATGCTCCCCACATCTATCCTCCCAAATGACCTAAACACCAAGCCCCACGCCCCACTTCATCCCTCTCAAATTCCAGTCTTTCCGTGGAGAGATGCGAGTGGAAGGCCTACGGCAAAACACAATCAGCTTCACGAAAAATTTTCTAGAAAGATTTCAGAGACCGAATGCTCCACAGCTAACAGGGCGTGGGTTCAGGAATTAAGCCAGCCTTTGACCAGCTGGTTGACCTTGGGGAGGTTTCCTGCGTGCCCTGAGTCTGCTTTCTCCTCTGCCAACTGGGCTGAAGCTGCCTCCCAGGGTTATACACACGACGGCATGAAACCCCACAGGTGGCCCCTGGCTCATGCAAGACCCTGTGCAGGTGGCAGCACCCTTCCCTCTCCTCCTCCCGTGGAGGCACAGATGCTTACCAAATGTGGCTCGGACCTCGCAGTCTCGGCCGGGCCGGGCCGTGGAAAAAACACGCACAGTCCGGTTGAACCCACAGAAGAGCTGGGAGCCATCCGGGGAGAAGCAGAGTGAATGGGCTGCCGTCAGCTCGTCCTGGGAAAAGGGAAGGGCTAAAAACAGGTCTTGCAAAGCCTCCGCTGCCCTGAAGGAAGGAGAGCGGGGCCAACAGAAGCACTAGGGCTGAGTGTGAAGGTCCCTACCAGGTGGTTGTAGGCACGAAAGGAAGCCCGGAGCTCTCCAGTGAATGCGTCCCAGATATGAATAGGGTTCTCCCGGCTGCTGCTGGCCACGCTGAGAGAGACATGGACACTGAAACCCCGGTGCTGTCAAAGGAAGGGGAGGAATGGCCGGGCGCGGTGGCTGACGCCTGTAATCCCAGCACTTTGGGAGGCCGAGGCAGGTGGATCACCTGAGGTCGGTTCGAGGCAGGTGGATCACCAGCCTGGCCAACATGGTGAAACTCTGTCTCTACTAAAAACACAAAATTAGCTGGGTATGGTGGTGCATACCTGTAATCCTAGCTACCTGGGAGGCTGAGGCAGGAGAATTGCTTGAACCTGGGAGGTTGACGTTGCAGTGAGCCAAGGTTGCACCACTACACTCCAGCCTGGGTGACAGAGCGAGACGCTGTCTCAAAAAGACAAAAATACAGGCCAGGTGCGGTGGCTCACGCCTGTAATCCTAGCACTTTTGGAGGCCGAGGACGGTGGATCACAAGGTCAGGAGTTCGAGACCAGCCTGGCCAACATGGTGAAACCCCATCTCTACTAAAAATACAAAAATTATCCAGGCAAAGTGGTAGGCACCTGTAATCCCAGCTACTCAGGAGGCTGAGGCAGAACTGCTTGAACTCGGGAGGCAGAAGTTGCAGTAAGTACAGATCACACCACTGCACGCTCGCCTGGATGACAGAGCAAGACTCCATTTCAAAGTCAAACAAACAACACATTTAGCTGGGCATGGATTATGCCACTGCACTCCAGCCTGGGTGACAGAGTGAGACTCAATCTCAAAAAAGAAAAAAGAAGGGGAGGAAGCCAACTGACCAGCCCCTCTGATGAGCATGACAAGCTGGCCTCTTCTGAAGGCCCCTGGCAGCCCTTGACTCTCCCAAGAGGGCCCGCTTGAAACTAGGTGGTGGGGTGGTGAATGCGGAGGCAAAGGACATTACTTACTAGGAGGTGTCTGGCTGGGCTGAGGACATCAGAGAATACCAGCAGTAATCATAGATGGTATCACCTTCCACCATTCGAAGCACAGGGACCTAGACAGAGACGTGCAAATGCCTGAGTCACTCGGAGGGAAACGGTGTCTGAGGCGCGTGCCTCTAGCAGTGCTGTGGCAGATGGGGTGTATATATGGAGCAGAGATTCTGTCTCAATGTTCAAGGGCGAGCTCAGACTTTAATGTCAGATTTAGCCACCAAAAGCCATATAGATTCATACTTTTTACTTTCTTTTTTTTTTTTTTTTTTTGAGACAGAGTGTCGCTCTTGTTACCCAGGCTGGAGTGCAATGGCACGATCTCGGCTCACCGCAACCTCCGCCT